TCAAAGATAGTAGTTAAATATCTACCACACTCAGTCAATCTCTGCCAATTAAACGCGGTTTGCCAGACGTACATAAAGATAAATACCGAGTACCATAGATCTGTCGAGTTGCTGAGAACTTAACTGCCAAAGATCTCTTTCACGGTGATATGCATTGACACTTGAATCATTTCCACGATCTGCGTAAACCACTTCCGCACCGATAAGCGCTATAGTCTTAGAGTCGTCAGTGGCGTCATATACGCGTAGAATCCCTGTCACGATGACTTCTCCCTTGATACCCAACGTAGCGTGGTGGAAAAGCCAACAAGGCTATCACCCAGATGCGAAGCTCACTCTAAGCTCACTCTGGAATAACGTACATGTTTACGCTGTCAGCAGTAGCTCCCTTCATCTGCACAGTGGCAATAAACGTGTAAATAACTTAAATAAAGTAAGCAAAACTGCATGTGTCTGTTGTATGATGCATCCAAATGATTGTTTCAGTTGACCAGTGTAATTAATTTAATTAAACTAAAGATTCTTTCCACTTGCATAATGCATTGACACATTATCCCTTTGGTCTTACCAAACGCAGTCATGATCACCGATTTCTCCAACGAAGCCGATAGGCTCTTAGTGCAGTACGCCTGGAAATATGCGCAAAAAAAAAACGTGTTGTGTGGGCCGATCTTGCGCGAAAGATGCAACGGCGTTTGCGAGTCGCCAAGAGCCCGAAGACGCTGGAAACTTGACTTCGAACACTAAAGCGCGCTCACGGCAACGACCTATCTCGTTTTCCTCCATGCTTTTTTTTAAGTGACAATGGCTCGCTCACACTCCACTAACTACGAGAAGTCTCGGACGACAAATTACCCCGTGTTAGACTTTCAAGCTACTGTACGTCTACTTCTGTCGGTATTTGGATCGGTCACAAAAGCTGATATTCGTCAGAGATCTAGTGTACTACATGAAAATGCTGGCGAGCTCCTACCAGAGCTTTATTTAACGTAATAAGGACTATTGGGCCAATCGCTGCGGAAGATGTCTTTCTCGATATTGGCTGTGGAATTGGAAACGTTGTTGCTCAATTTCACCTCAAACAGCCGCCAAAAGCTGCATTGGTATCGAGATTCGTCGTCAGCTCTCTCTAATAGGCAACCAGCTCGTCCAGAGATACTCAAACGTGCAACCGTTGCTCAAGAAAGTTTGCTATTACAGGGAGATGCGAAAGCGGCATCATTATCATTGCCACAGCCTTTTTGCAATGCGTCTATTGTGTACCTCAATAGTTTCTTGTTTGCCAAAGATGTCAAACCTCTCGTGTTGGGCGAGTTATGCGCGCTTCCTCGTGCTCGTATCGTTGTTTCTACTGAGACGTTCGGCCCAAGGCATCGTATACCATGCATGAACAGCTTTTGTGCAAAATGACAACTACATCAAGTTATTAGAGGTCAAGCAAGTTGGACGATTAAGCCTGTAAGCATCTACATTTACCGACGAGCGGGCACACAAAAAAACCTATTCGCCACTTTTTTTATAAGGAACTTCAGCCAGGGTATGAAGTAGCCGGGCTAGAATTATAGATTCGCGATCGAGCGCACTGTGGTCTGGAAATCGAGCGTCAGTAATTTTCGGGACGCGTGTCCCCTAAGAATCAAGAAGGTCCCGCGTGCTTGCTCTTCTGGATACCAAAAGCCTCGCTGGATTTGCTAAACCTACAGCTACGCTCGTGCTCATGGCGTTCAAATCGCGTTTGATCACATGCTTGTACAACCATACGTAGCTAAAGCGCGTAGCGTTGTCGCCCTTCTTCACATTCCAGTCGGTCTGCTCAAATATTGGTATCGTAAGAAATATATCAGCACTATCCAGTGAAGAACTATCCTGAATAATAATTGCCAATCCCAACTCCTACCTCTTTCAGTTGAAGACCGAATAATACTCGATCTGGATGTCAACCTAATGCAATGTACTTACAGCGATTCATTTTAAATGGCCAACAGTTGCTGTAGTCGCGCTCGAATATTTTTAAGGTAGCAGTCCCGTTCATCCTATCCGCACCGTGGCAGGCTTTGCATGAAATCTAACAAAAACGAACATTTTAGCATGCATCAACACGAGATCGTAACAAAATGTTCACCAAAGCGTTGCCGACAAGTGTTTCCGCACTAATACTAAACGAGCTACCACGCGATTCGGTTGCAAGTGGCATTTCATCCAGGTCGACTTCGTCATAGCGTTATATTTTAATCGTATAGTAGCTAAATTAGCAAAATGCGTACCACTTAGACGCACGAAGGCACCTCGAATACAATTACTGCTTGCAGCAATTAGTGCTCAATATAAATATCGTACCTAACCACAATTAAGCGCCAACACCCTTGCATACAAGTGATCGCACAGAAGGGCTGACAGAAAACCTGGTTTGGCGTCCGAGGATACGGTGCTTGTATGGCACTTGGTGCTAATGGTGAGAATATTGCATATGTTCTCACACTCTCCATCTATCAAAGTGCAAAAAAA